TGAGCACTATCTTGTACAGCTAGGTTTGCTCTATCTGATGGTATATCAAATCATATTGAGAATAGAGGAAAATCCCGAGTTATTGCGGTGTGTACCACTTTTGGTGCAGGAATCAAGCATCAACCTCATACAATAAAAAGCACAAAGGTATCCATTGTTAGGCATGATGGTCTTACGTTAGAAAATAACATTTTGTTTCAGTAGTGACTGAATTTGTTTTGTGACATATTTCGGTGCGTTTAAGGTTGACAAAGCTAGGCGCCTGAAAAAAAGGCTCAAACTTCTAACAGGACATAATCTCGAGATTTTATATCGACACCAGGATTGTATGATAGCTCAAACAAATCAGTAGTTGTTGAAGAAAAGTACAGTTTCCCTTTTTTCCCTGTGATCAAACCAGAATTGTGCAGTACATTAGAGATAGTAGAAGTATTGCATAAATTCTGGAAAACATTGGTTTGCAAGAGTTTTCTTCCGCTATTGTTGTGGTCTCTGGTGCAATCGTTTTGGGTTGACTGAAAAGCACATTAGCTACTTAGCAAACACCTACACAGGTACGTACCTTTTTGACTCTGCAATTCCCAGCCTTTTATTAGCAACATCGAATACTACGCAATAATGATAGAAAAATGGTGCACCAATGAGCATCGGCCCCATCAGTGGTGTCGCTCTTTCTTTTACAGCCAATATGCACAAGTCATTAGAAATCTGAACATATCTTCTTCTATCCTAAGAATGTGAGGTCAATGGGCAACAAAAACAGAAAAAAAGAAAAACGAAGTTTTCAGCCAAGCGATTTTGCACACTGAAACTGTTTGCAATGTTGCACATTAACCAAATGCGCATAATTACCTTGATGATAAGATCGCTTGCCCTTATCGTATACAAATGGTCGATTATTATATCCGGAAATTTGGCGTTGCAATCAATCCAATAAAGATTGCTTCCGGTATCGTACTACGAATAATAAACATTAGGCAAAATCATACGTGCACGATTACTACCTGAGCATGGGCCATTTTTGCAACAGCACCCGCAATGGTTTCTGGTAAAATCAGATAAGCACCCAAATCCATTTCTGCAGATGACCAAATGTGGATATCCAAATCTGCCATATCAATGAAGTGTACCTAAACATTTTGCCTATGTTAAGTTATATCAAGACTTGCTCATACAATTTTGGGCTCTCAACTTGCTAAGCGATATTCTCCATTCTTGTTATGATAAAATTCTACTTCTTTTTATCCCAGTAGGGAAGATGTCTTGATTATTTACCAAACGACTGTATGGAAGGAGTCGCTAGCGACAAGAGATTCTTGTCAAATCCGCACGTTCAAACGCTCACAACTCCATCCAGATAATGCTCGGCAGATAATAAGCATATTGAGTTCAGCGTTTTGAGACAAGTTCGATGATATACAGCTTGCTTGGAATTACTAGATTGAGTTCTGCATTCCCT